AAGGTAAAGCAGCCCGTGGTCGAGTAATACCAAGGTCGTTAATCTGACTGCCAGAAAGGCCAGGCTTAACATTAAAAAACAAGAATTAATAACTAAATATTCATCTGTACGATAGAAAGGGATAATATAATCAGGAGCAAATAATTAGAGTTAAGACAATAGATTATAAAGATTGTGTGTATGCGTGTGACGTTACACAGCCTAAATAAAGGGCTACTGGGGCAGATATCAGTGAATAAGAAAGTACTTTTTGGAAGGGATGTCGAGCATAAGATCCAAAAGATGTCTGGGTGAATAATTCAAGGCTAAAGCCTCTGAGTTAGTCTCATGGTCATACCTTTCCTACATGTACCTACTGTCAGAAAACTAGCTCAAATCGCCGCCTCGTCTATCCTTATTTTATCCCTAATACCAAGTCTATGACTTGTCATGCCCTAGTTGCTTGTGCGTCAACCCACAAACGTTGGGGGTACTGCTGGCTTTAAATAGCTCAATGTTGAACCACAAAGTTTGTGGGCTGACACAAGCAACTAGGGCATGGCAAGTCATAGACTTGGTATTAGGGATAGAGACAGGATTTACGAGACCATGAGACTTACTCTGAGAATTTAGCCTCGAATTAGTCACCCAGACGAAGGGGTGGGTTAATTACGCCTCAAATAGCACATATAGGGGGGGGGGCAAATTGGTCGAGTGAAATACATTTACCAGGGAGATAGCAGACGGATTCGACGAGGCAAGAGGGAGAAATTGATAGGACTCAGGGAAGGACTACGTAAGAATGACAGACTGGTCACAAGAGGGAGACTCTGATAGGACCCAGGGAAGGACTACGTAACAATATGACAGACTCTGGTCAACATTCTTAGCACAAGGGTGAAGAGGGCGATAACGACAGTGTGGAGTGTGAAGGGTTTTCATGAATGCCGCTCGAAGGAGCACACCACACTACATTAAAAGTAAGTACGGTAAAACTGTGACAGGGAAGGCATGATAGGAGGATATAGGAAATGTAAATAGGCCAGAGCAGAAGGGGAGATACCATAACTGTTTAGCACACATTTGGTCAAAGGATGGGCTTCACTTGTCCCTTTTACGAGTTGTAATATGGTGCTAAGAATGGCGAGACTCACTGACAATGCCGACTACGATGCCGGCGAAACAGCTGGGAATGTACCACGTCCACGGTCCTACTCTGGGAATGATGATTCATACAATGGGCTAGGTGTATTCCT